ATAATATAATATATATATATACTTAACGTATACTAGTACGTACTACGTACTACGTACGTACGTACTACGTACTACTACTACTACTACTACTACTCTCTACTCTCTCTCTCTCTCTCTCTCTCTCTCTCTCTCTCTCTCTCTCTCTCTCTCTCTCTCTCTCTCTCTAGCCAGAGTCGCCAACACACAGATAACGATCTAACCAGCCTGTTCCGATTCTAATAGGCCGGTTTTGCAAACACTAAGAGAGAGAGGGGACGTGAAAATATTTGTAGCTTATCACCTTAATTTTTTTTACCTTGAAAATTATTTAATAATTAAAAAAGTATAAAATGAGACTATTTACCTTAGATACAAGGTCATCACATTGATCTTGACCATTGGATTTGAAATTGAATCGTTGCACCAAAACCGGCTACTAAGTAGACCACCAAAATCGGCCCTAGCCGGAGTCGCCAACACACCGATAACGATCTAACCAGCCGGTTCCGATTCTAATAGGCCGGTTTTGCAAACACTAAGAGAGAGAGGGGACGTGAAAATATTTGTAGCTTATCACCTTAATTTTTTTTAACTTGAAAATCATTTAATAATTGAAAAAGTATAAAATGAGACTATTTACCTTAGATACAAGGTCATCACATTGATCTTGACCATTGGATTTGAAATTGAATCGTTGCAATTACTCCATTGACTAAGCTCAAACTTTAAAAGAAATTTTATTGAACTTTGTGACAGATTCAAATTTCACATCAAATGGTTGTAAGGAGTTGTGACCACTTGTATCAAAGGTAAATGGTATCATTCTATATGATCCCTGATTTTTTTTTTGAAATTTTATTTATTGATTTTTATACATACAATTTTTTTTGAAGTTTTATTTATTGATTTTATTCATCTATGTAAGTACGAAAAAATTCAATTTCTCCTCAATGTGAAGTATTACAAAATTCAAAATTCACTTTGGTGATTTTATAATTTTTTTGGTTTGCTTTTGGATATTTTATCCTAGCACTTCATATGAATAGAATTTATTTATAATGTCATCATCAACTTTACGTGTTCTAATATATATTTATCATTTCTTTCTCAACAGTATATTTTATTTATTATCAATATATTCAAATTTCAATTTCTCCCTAGTGTGAAGTATTACAAAATTCAAATTTCACTTTGGTCATTTTTTAGAGGTATTTTGGTCATTTTATATTTTGAAAAATATTTGTTATATATTTTTTGATTGTGCACCCTATACACATTTCTAAAATTTTATTATGATCCGATATCTAAAATATATATTAAAATTCATATAGTGATATGCATTCTAAGCCACATGATGAAGATTCACTTGTTAGGATTCTATCTAAAAAGCTAACAATAGCTGGACAACTATAATGAATAGTAATATAGGTGGAATCCCAACCGTCAGATCTTCATCGAGTGATTCAAAATACATATCACTAGTTTAATTTTAATTTTAACTTTTTTTTATATAAATCTGATTAAGATTAAAGTTTGGGTGTACATACCTAACACTCTTGCGTACTATATAAAAATATTAAAAAATTATTTTCAATAATTTAAAATGATCAAATTAACCCCATTATTTTTTATGGGTATTTTGGTCATTTTATATTTCGAAAATATTTTTAATATATTTTTTAATTGTGCGCCCTATCTTTTAGTACACACTTTTCAAATTTCATTATGATCTGATTTCCAAAAAAATATTAAAATTCATATAGTGATATGCATTTTGAACCACATAATGAAGATCTAACGGTTGGATTCCACCCATATTATTATTCAGTATAGCTGCCCAGTTATTGTAAGGTTACTCGTATATTATAGCCTGATTTTATCGTGGTTCTCTTCTTTTCTTTTTTTTGAGTAATTAGGTGAATTTTCATTCTTCCAATGATGGATTTCTCGAGAAAGAGTTGCTGTGAGGCTCAACTCCCTAGGATTTATCGATGAAAGTTGAAAAGAAACCTTGGTGAGAAATTAAAAGTATTATGGAGTTGTTCCAGTAGTTAAAAAACTCTAAGCTGATTTTGGTTATTGTAAGAGCAGAGATTAATAATAGTAGAACGCAGTAGTTTCTCAAATATTTAAAAAAACGTATTGGGGGAATAGGCCAAAGAAGTATGGTATGGTGTTGGGTGTATACATATTTTTCCCTTGTTTATAGGTATAAGACATCGGGAATACAATTGAATTCCAAAAAATGACAGTTGAATTTGGAGAGCAAATTTCGTCATTGATTCTAAAATTTCAGAAAGAAGAAAATAAGAGATATTTGTAAAGAGCAAAATGGGAAAGTAAAATTTATACTTAGTCATTTTTTAAGTCAAGTTCCATTGTTTTTTAGTGTATTTTAATTTTATATGTTCTCAAGTTCCATTTTTTTAGTGTATTTTAATTTTATATGTTCTTATATATATCAAGTTAAGTTTATATTTGGTGCGTCCAGAGTTTTACTACCATGCACCTAAAAAAATATTGAAAAAATAATTTAAAATAAATAAAATTGTCAAACTATCCCTTGATACACCAAATTTGAGCTTAAAGATACTCTTTCTAAAAAAATGGGATTTAAATATAAAGTTTTATATATATATATATATATATATATAAGCATTTAGATCTGGCTGCTTAGAAATTAGACAGGTTGCATTCAATCTTAGATTCCTTTTTTTTAGGGAAATTTACCAATATTTTCCTCATTTTGTTAAATTAAAAAATGTACCCAATATTTTATTTTTTTATGTTCTAGTCCCAATTTTGAGAGCAACTATTATATTTTAATTTTATTTTTTTATAGAAGTAAACTAAAATTTTGGATGTCCATACTTCTTACACACCTACCTATAAAAATAATTTAAAATAATTAAAATGACCAAAATAACAAAAATATCCCCAAAACTTTTGGGAATATCTTGATCAATTTATTTTATATAATTATTTTACTTCATTTTATTTTATTTTGCAAACTTCTGATGGCAAAAAGTATGAACACCCAAAACCTAAGATTAATTCAAGGTATAGAACAAAAAAGATAAAACTAAAATGCTAGACACACTACGAAAGTGAGAAGCAAGCATAAAATACGAAGTATAGGGGATTTTTTAAAAAAATTAATAAAAGATAATTTACGTAAACAATCAAATTCGAGCCTCTCTAAAAAATTTCAGTAGAAGAGGTTGTTTTGATGCCTAAATATCCTCAAATTGATCATCTCGACATCAAGGTGCATGGACATGAGATAAAAATGAATTTCAAGTTTTGGAAGTAGTGTATTTTGTAATGCATTTTTTACCATCAAGTTTAAAGATTTTCACTATTTTTTAAGCTTTAAACTTTATAAATAAAGCTAAAAACATATTTTAAGGCTATCAGAAAAATTTCTAGTATTAAAACTACATTTTTCGACACTATTTGAAAGCAGGCTCTAATTTGATTGCTCAGAGCCTAGGCTCTATACAAACCGCACCCTTTTTTTTATGGGCATGTGTATATAATAGTTATTTTATTCTTTTGAGGTTGGTCGTTAGATTGAGAAGGTCACATGCCAAAATCTAGTCTTAAAAATGACCAAAGTTTTTAACCGAGGAGCATATCCCAAAGGGAGAGTGAAATCTTTTTCATCATTTAAAAGCCTGAAAAGGAAAAAAATTTTTATGACACATTATATTGTAGATACAAGACGCCTCAAAAATCTACTGGAAAATAATTGATCATTTCAAGTCCTAAAAATAATAGAAAAACGTAAATTTTCAAATCCTAAAAATAATACATAATAGATTATCTAAATCGTCAATTTTCAAGATTCTCAAATACTTATAAACATACTTGATCTGCACCATTTTATAAGAAATCTCATGTAAAATAAAATTTTATATCATTTTTGAAATTTTCGACAACAAAATCAAATCTTTGGACAAGATTTGAAAATGCAAATTACTTAAATAGACTATCTAAATTGCCCATTTTCAAGATTCTTTATAAATATACTTGATCTGCACCATTTTATAAGAAATCTCATGTAAAATAAAATTTTATTTCATTGTTGAAATTTTCGACAAAAGTACATCTTTGGACAAGATTTGGAGGTGCAAATTACTTAAATTTTCTAAGGTCGATGCCTTCTACAAACCACACCAATTCAAAACGAAGTCCAATGAACGCCAAAAGATTTCCTACTCCTGCAGGAATATACTATCCATTTATCCACTCATACTCTAGGATATCTTTTTCATCTCAAATTTTGGGAATGTGATCTCAAGAATCTGGGAAACGACCCCCAAGAGTTAAGAAGAAGAAAAAAAATCATCCCAAGATTGCACCTTCACCATCCAAATTTTGGAAGGGACTGATATATGATGTTCATGAACTCAAAATCTAAATTTTTTTCTTTGAAAATAATCTAGTTATAATTAAATTGATCCCCAAAATTTCAAATTAAAAAAAAATGAAATAAAATCTCCCAAGTAGTTATTGTTTTGCCTAAATAGCATATTCCCTATGGAGCATAAATGCGCTCCCAATTAATATATATTAAAGAATTTCAAAAAACTCATTTCAATAATTTCTGCAAAAGGCAAACAAATTCGGTTTAGTGGAAAATAGAGAAAAATTAAAGGTTTGCAACCTTCATTTCAACAAATAAGAATTGTTGTTGCAAAAGCAATGAAGAAAAAATAATTTCTAAGTCATATATACATAACACGAAATAACAAATTTACATTTTTCCCTTTCCTTTCTCAAATTGTACCATGGTACAAAAGCCCTGGCTTCGACGACCCGAAGCCTTGGCGCTCTCCGATAATTGCAAAAGGCATGTATACAAGAGAAAAGAATCAAAACTAAGAAACAAAATCTTGCGGTCGGAGAACTCTTACCAACCAACCAATCTAACATTTTTTTGTACACTTTGCTGATGCTTCCACTCAGCTGTTCAGCCTGGCTAAAAACTGGCTGACGTTGTACTCATCTGAGTATTGAGACTCATCCCAAAGCTCTCCTAGTCCACTTAAGATGGACTTTATCCCCCTCCCTCCTCCAATAGATTTTGTATCCGCATTTTCGCCATTTGAACTCTTGGAAGAGACAGCACCCTGCTGTCACGTTTCAATAAATCGTTAGGGGACAGTCTGACCATAAGCGCATTCGCATGAATTCTTGGAGAGTAATCCCCTGAGCTACTTCCATTTTCTAAGAAATTCTCATAACAATTTCAAAAATATTGAACAAGGAATCTCTCTCTCTCTCTC